CCATTTATTATTTCTTTCTTACTCTCTGTTTTCATTCATAACGAACTGTCTAACGCCATGGACCTGATCCCTTGTGAAGTCGCCAGTCGTGAAGCTACTCAAGAATTTCCCAACATTTTATGGAACCCGCTATATTCACCCACCCACATCTTGGTCTACCTAGAGGCTCTTTTTTTTTCCGGTATCCCACAAATATCATCTTCCCTATTCCTACTATATTCCCTGCCCATCACATCCTCCTTGACTTGATCATTTTAATTATATTCGAAGAGAAGTACAAGCTATGAAGCTCCTCGTTATGCAGTTTTCTCCAACCTCCTGTCACTTCATCTCTCTTCGGCCCAAATATTCTCCTCAACACCCTGTTCTCAAATACCCCCAGTCTATGAAGAAAGCAGTCTTCTGGGGTGTGGCGCCGTGTAGATGTGGTGTTAACCGACGTTTCGGAGGAAGGTATCGCCTCTATCTTCAGGCTAGAAGCAAAAATAACGTCGGTTAACACCACATCTGCATGGCGCCACATCCAAGAAGACTGCTTTCTTCATAGTCACCGCCCTGAAAACCTCAAATCTTACACCCTCAGTCTGTGTTCCTCCCTCAAGGTCAGAGATCAAGTTTCACACCAATTCAGAACAACAGGCAAAATAATAGTTTTGTATATTATAAGTTTTAAGTTTTTAGAAAACTGGCGAGAAGACAAAAGGTTCTGGACTGAATGGTAGCAAGCGTTACCCGAGTTCAGTCTCCTCTTAATTTCCTCCTGAATCCGTCTTGATTTGTTATCGTCATTCCCAAATATCTGAACTGTGCCACATTTTCAAATCTTCTATTTCTTATCTTATGTCAATGTTTCGCCCTGCATTTTGGTGACGAGACAGCAACATATACTTAGTTTTCTCTGTGTTTACTTCTAGACTGACCTCCTTACTTGCGTCAGTTGAAGTTTATATGTTTTTCTTTATGATATCTATATTATCACCCAGTAAATCCATATCATCAGCATAGACCAACAGCTGATGTGTTCCGTTTAATTTCAGTCACACCTGGTTCGCCTGGACCTTCCTAATGGCATATACTAAAGTAAAGTTGAAAAAACAGTGTTCATAAAGCATCTCCTTTCTTTTAAACATATATTAATCAGTTTAACTAGATTCATGGATATCCCAAACTCAATATCTCGCATAATCCGGGTAATCAGTTCCGCCAATATCCCGGACTGTTTGAAACCGGACTAATCGATGAAATAAATATATACAAAAATGATAATTGGTTAAAAAAGTTCTCCGTTTCTCAATAAATAAAACGCAATTAATAAATTCAAATGTCTTTATTAGAAATAATTTAAAAAAATAATGTTTTCGCAATTCATTTTTTATTCTCTAAAAATTGCAATATTGATGTCTGCACATTTTTCTTCTTTAGCCTTTTCTCTTCATACATTTCTTCGTAGCAACGAATTGCATTGTTTATCGTTCGGCGAATTGTAAGGCTACGTTCAATATTGGGATCAACTTCCATAAAATGTTCTGACAAGGTTTCAACCTTTCCAAGAATTTTTATTGTTGTTCAGCTGTTAATTCTCGTGCAGGCATTTCAGCACAGTCGTCATTGTCTAAGTTGTCCTCCAGTTCTTCATAAGCCCGTTGTTCATCTATGTTAATAAGTGTTCCGTTATCTAGTTCATAAGTGTTCGATTTGATGCACTCAGTTACGTTGACGGAATCTAACTCATTGAAACCAAGTTGCTGTCCAGTTTCCACTATGTTATTAGTGACTTCAGCAAAATGAGTTTCAAAACCAATGAAATCATGTGCACGGTGTGATATGATATGTTTCCATACTGCCCTCATATTGCTTGCCGTTAATTCATGCCATGCTTCGCCTATAGTTTCGTTAACGTTTCTGATGTAGCTCTTCAGAATTTCCGTTAAAGTAGTGCTCCCCCCACCTCCTGCAGCGATAGCTGTCAGAGCTCAAGAATGAACGACCCGAGCATAGGTACGTACATACACAACTGGGAACCCCAGAAAATATTGAAATATGTATCGTATCGCATAACTTTAAAAGCACATAAAAATAAACCGCAAAAAAAAGAGACTTGACTGTATAAAAGGAAAAAAACCGATCATTTATGTATTAAAAATAATTTTGTGTACTAATATTTTATAATTTATTTTTATTTTGCTCAATTAAAATTTAGTTTGTCTTGAAATTTTCAAACATGACTATAGTTAATCCGGACTGATCGAAGCCGGACTATGCGAGGTATTGCTAGTGTAAATTACTTCCCTCCTAGCAGAATCATAGGCTTTCTTGAAGTCTACAAACAGCTGATGTACTGTCTCATTGTGCTCCCACTTTTCTCTAGTATCTGACGAATGCAAAAGATCTGATCAGTATCTCTTTTCAATAATACCTTTCTTATTTCTTATATTTTCCTTCTTTTTCTTTTTTATCTTCACTTTTTTTCCGTCTTCTTTCCTTCTTCTCTTAATTTCTTTCTTTCGTCTCTCCTTACTTTGTTTCCTTACAATTCTTCTTGCCTTCTTCTGTTACGTTCTTTATCTGTCTCTCTTCCTTTATTTCTCACTTCTTATAGTGAGCCTGCAGTTCAATCTGTTACACAGTTCTTTGAACAAAGACAAAATAACAAGCCATTAAAACACAGAACTAGAGGTGATATATAAAGTTAAGGGTGAACAGAGTGACGAAAGCTCTGTTTCCTTCCAGGCGCCTCACTAATTACAGCGATTGTACCATAACAACGAGACGAGAGTTTCTTTCTAATAAGGTTTCTGATAAGGTTTTCCGTCAGGAAGATTGCCACCTTGTGCTGTCATTATCAGAACCTCCGCCTCAGCCCAGGGTGGCGATAACTGTTTGTTCGTCAACCTCCCTAAGCAATTTCATTACAGGGTCCCGAAGCCACAAAGTTAACAGTAAAAGCGGTTTATCTCTCTATAAAAGTGTCGGTACATTCTGTCCCATTATTTCACTTTCTGAAAGGTTTTAATTTTACGCAGGAAATGACTTCTAAAGTGATCATTTTGGCTTATTTCCTGTAACGTCAAGGAGAGACTAAGGAAATTAACTTAAAATTCCGGTTTGGAATAGCATACTCTTATTTCTAGCCGGGATTAACAATCGGTTACCTCCCAAGTATTAATATCACCATCAACAAATCTATGAATTTGAATTTTAAGGACAAATAAAACGTATTTTGAGTCAAAATTCCAAGTAACAGTAACAGTATCTCGTGAGAAGGTAAAATTATATCAGAACTCATTAAGATATCCAGCGTTAGAGATATAATTTTGAATCACTTGATTATACCGGAGACTCCCTCTGTGGTGTAGTGGTCAGCGTTCCTGGCTACAAATCCAGAGATCTCTAGTTCGATTCCAGGCGCTACCAGATTTTCTGTGTAGTGGTTCTGGAACGGGGTCCTCGTGAGGATAATTGAGGAGTTCTTTCAAGGAAATAGCGGCTCCGGTCTACAAACCCTAAATTAACAGCCGTGGGAATTCGTTGCGCTGACAATGCGACACCCTCTATCCTCTAAAGTTAGCACTAACTTCGCGGATGAGAGGCTGTCGCTAGGTCGATATAGTTCGCCTGCGGACTACAGGCCACGGAGTTTGTTTTGTTTGTTGATTGTGCCAGAATAATGGCATTCAAACATTCGGGAGTAAGTCTGCATAGTTGTGGAGCTCAAGATTTATTTAATGGGACAACGTATTCGAAACCCAGTATGGTATACTACCGGTTATTTTCCAGAGTTCCTTCACCTCCTTTAACCTAATTCCAAGAAATACAGAATAGGCCACGGTCGCCTTATTTCTCACTCAGTGTTCATGTTGACTTATCTTCCACCCTTCAGACGTCGTGGTCGAGTGGTCGGCACTTCTGTTTCGCATTCAGCATGTCCCATGTTCAGATCTCAGCCACTCCAGAGAAGTACCGGTTTAGTGCCGGTAACTGAAGTTAGATGAAAACCGCTTCGTTCCATATACGTAGTTCCCAGTTCTCTCCTCGCTACTCACCATTCGGCGCTGTAAAGGTAGAATTGTCCCTGTGCCTAATTAATTATACATTGCGCCATGAAGGCGTATGGTGGAATGGATGTATAGATCCGCATTTTCTTGACCTCGGCACTAGTTGGAGGTGAGTGGTCAGCTTCACGCCCCGGTCACTTTACCCCCGGGGAAAGAGTCTCCGGTACCCACTGGAGAGGAAATTGGTTGGGCCCCAGAGCCCCTTTGGACGACGTGGAGAAGAGAAAATTCTTGACCCTACAGAACTCGAACTCCGATCCCGCGGTCGTCCAGTCCGTAGCCAGTCGCTGTACCGACTGAGCTATCCCGGCTGTATATTCATGTGCAATTCGAAACCTCTACAGCTGATATATCGGCGTTACAGCATCAATCAAGAGGTCAATATGCTGTGTCCACCGGACAGGAAGGTCTAGAGGTAACGCTCTGAATTAATATTGAATAAGTGCTGGGTTCGAATCCTGGTCGGGACACCGTCTGTCCAGGCTGACTTTTTTCTTCGTTTTGCTTAGTCCCTTCAGGAAATGCTGGGATAGTTCCGCAATTATTCCATAATCGCTTCCTTTCAAATTCCTTTCTTTTCATCAGTGATCACCTCACCCATCGTTACGTGTCTGTACTGAAAGCCTAGGGAGAACATTCTGTTCTTCCACAGTTTATATTGCCCCTTGCTAAAACAATAAACACACGTAAAGGATAGCTATCGCATCAGTGAATTAAAGCTGAAAGCTTCCTAAAATTGACACAGCCATGCCTGAGGAAACATAAGCATGTTTTGACTCTGCTGTTACCTTAGCTTACATTAAGTGTCCTCATTCAGTGTCTAGTGACAGTTGAATAATATCCCGTTATAAATCATGTCTAGCTTGTCAATCATTTGCTGTAAACCTCAGTAATATAAACGGATTGACGAATCATATATTTTTACGCGCTGTGATTTCGTTGCAGAGAGGGAAGGGCGGTTCAAGTTACCGTTTTCTAAGCAGCTCCTACCCTTATCTCAAGGATGATGATCAGTACATGAATGTCGCATCGTGGACACTTCAGCGTTATTGGTAAGTTTTTAATAATTATATGTAAATGGAGACAGACAGCGAAATAAACATAGAGCCTAGTCTTCTTTGACAAAAATTTATTTATTTCGTTGGCTATTTAACGATGCTGTAAGCGTCAAGAATTAATATCATCAATAATATGATGATTAATTATAAAACATCGAAGCACTCACAGAAAACCCACAACTTTGTCCACAAAAATCACACATAACCGAATCTGTAATCGAACCTAAGTCACTTTGGTACTATGATACTCATTTAGCTAGTCAAGAAAGTCACTGCCCTGCAAGTGCAATTACTGTAAATTTCTTCATATGTTTTTTCGTTGAAGGATTAGGTTGCCTGGCTTACCCCACTCGGAATTAATTAATTATGAAATTATGAATCTTGCAGACAACTGGTAAGACTCCTTGGAAAGAGGATCAGTCGGTCGTAAGATCGCCACGTGTTCAGGGCAACAAAAATGCAGAAAAAGAACGCAACACATGTATGAGTCGAGTGGGGTTCGAACCCGCCGTTCTAGTGTCGAGCGGGCGAAGATATTTCGTGACCTAGATCACTCAGATCGGCAATTTGTATGATTTGTAGCAATATAATTTCAAATTGTATTGATCTAAAAAATGTTATTCAATTCTTTATATTTGCTTAATCGTATATTGTTTACCGTTCCGAAGCAGGTAGTTAATCTAAATTATGTTTAAAAATTCAGTCCCTACGTTTTACAAAACACTATGTGTTTCTATTATAAATATCAGTGGATTTATGCTGTGTAGGAAAATAATTGTTTATTGTGAAAACCCTTCGCAATGCATACATGCGCAGTGGGAAAAATTAGAGGATTTCACTGTTACATATTTATTTAATTTATGATTTTTAATGACAGTCTCAGTATCTCAGAGTGTATAATGTCGAACTGCAGGATGATAACTGAGCAATGACTTTTAACGAATGTTGCCTAATTAGAGGCAGTGTCTGCTCATTTGCCTGGTGGAACTGACGTAATCGCGAGGCACCTCAGCATAATCTGTGACTCGGCCGATATTCGAAGCGGATACCCTCAGAATAGAAGTCAGAGGCTATACGGTAATTTCAGTTATTAAAGTATGTGATAACTATGTAGTTACCACTCTGTTTTAAAGTTTTAAGGACCCCGTTTCGTTTGTGTCGCTTGATTGTGAATGATGAAAAACTGTGTAAGATGTCGCCCATTTCAAAATACTATCCCAGAATCTCTCTTGAGAGTCTGAAGGAAGCCATGAAGCCTCAGGACAGCTGATCTCCGAACCGAGTTTCGAATCTATATCTCCCTAATACGAGTCATTTTTACTTAACATTTAAAAATTAATTTAGTTTCATGAATCTGGGTTAAGAGTAGCAGCTGTGAATGATGGAAAACCGTTTCTTTCGCTGTCCAGATATTTGATGCGCTGTATGACGTGGGTAAGCGTTGTCGCCTCTTGTACTTCGTGCGCATGTGCACATTCGACATGTCAAATGGAGGGTATCACTTAATTACGTTGACAGCAGACAAAGGCAGCCGCAGACGGAAGGGCTTGAATTTCTCGTATCTTCATGAAGCTTCTATCTTCTCTGTTCTCATTTAATTTTAAGAGGGCTTAAACAGTTGCTTCGTGATTTTAATATGTCACGTTTTCGTGTTACGCAATTTAATGTTATCAGAATTAATCTGTCTCCTTGCAAATATTTAAGCTACGATAACCTAAGACTAACAAATGGTGAATTTATTTAAAGCTTAACTTTCCTTTTTGCACTAAGAATTTAAGACATAAACTGATAATACAGTATGAATTCAGGCAATGCGTCTTTTTCGCTGTGTTATGCAGTGTTGTACTATCCCAAACTCCTGACACCATTGTTAAAAGTGTGGTCTGTTATCCTACCCCAACTGCTATGACTTGCTTTTACGCTTTCGGGTGGCAGTCTGTGTTGCGTCAACCGTCCTGGAAACCACTACCCACTTAAAGGTGCAGTGTGGACTGGGGGAATTCTTCAAGGAGGAGGTTCAGAGTTCATGGTTCAGCCTCTCTGGCTGTTGCTTCACTTTAAAAAAATATTACATATGTGTTTCTACCAATCTTTTGTGCATACTTTGGATCTGACACTGCATTCACCTCTGTTATAAGCACCCTGCACATACCCCATGGAAAACACTGTCTCTATTGCTGCTAGCGTCACCGCTTAAGAGAAAGTGTGTTTACCGAGTCGTTGCTTAGAAGCGGGTTGCATAACCCCGTTGTTCCACCGCTGCTGGGCGCGGACGACGTGGAAAACACAGCCTCGTTTATTTTTGCGTGTTGGACCTTATTTACAGAGCTGTTGCCTGGCAACGGGTTACAGTATTACAGTTACAGTATTATCCTCTAATATACAACTATGTATATCAAGCTGTCTCTTCCCTGAATTTTTCCTGAATAAGATTTTGTATGCAATACTTCCATGCTTGATTCAAGTCCCAGCCTCGTCGTCCTTCTTGGTTTGACCACGTTATGTAGAGTATAAATTATGACGCTCTAAATTATGTAATTTTGTCCAACTTCCTGCTGCTTACTCTCAAGACATTATTACTATATCTAGTGTAACATCTGTGCTACAGAACAGCTTTGGACCTGTGAGTCTGCCTTTAAAATTACGTAGTAATGCGCATCAGTTCCTATGTTTCGCCTTATTCCCTGGCTTTGCGGTCCTCTAAGAACCTTGGCCTCCTTCATGACAGATGCCCATTAATCATCCATCCGGGACCCGTTATGTTTCTTAGCATGTATTGCTTTCCCACTGGCTCTTAGCTTCACAGACAACACACGACTTGAGAGAACATGGCTCTGTCCTTCGGCCTGACTGGCATGGTATCTCTACCGGTAACCTACCCTCCGGGGATCTATCATAGCTTTGCTTGTGGTCAGAACTCTGAAATATACAAAACACATTAAGGGGAGGTGGTGATCCTTGTCTTAGCAAAGTTACTTTTAACATATTAAGGTACGTTTCTCTGAACTGTGGAAAACTTCGCAACCTGAAATTCAGTACATCGGTATGGGTTTTCTGTAACTTCTGACCTATTTTTGTGCGTCTGACACATAAAATTATGAAGGTAACAGTATTATTATTGAAAATGTTAAAAGAATTTTTATCTGTTGGAAAAAATTTAATAAATTTATTTACAAATATATCACTACGGGTATGAGAAGTCAGTAGGTACAGAAAATTCTCATCTTCGTGCCAAATTTCTGGAATGTGCAATTTGAGGTTGCTCAGAAAGTTCACGTTAACTTAACGAAATGAACATTCTTGAGACAGGGCTTACCACCTTCTCTCAATGCGAAAACCCAGAAGGAGAATAGAGTTTAATGTACCTCAAATAACATCTTTCAATTGAGTTCGTATTGCTTTGTCTATGATTGCTTAACGAACTGTCTATTTTATGAAAAATTGATGCAACGCGTAGCCTTTAAGTGCTACATCTGCTGAGGACATCCGTAACCCAACTTCAGCACGTCCATTGTTGTACAACACATTGGCACGTACCAACTCAGCTCCGGGCAAGAGGAATTTGTTGAAATATATTACAAAATATTAAAGTTTATAAAAAAACTTCGTGGCTTTGGTCCGCAAGTGAACTATACCGATACGAGTGACCGCTGCTTGTCGGCGAAGTTAGTGCCAATTTTAGCGGGTAGAGGGTGTCGCGTGGCGAGAGCAACAAAATCCCACGGCCGTTAATTTTCTGTTTTCTAGACCGGAGTTTGTAGAGAAATGAATTGAGATAAGCACGGCATAGTACGCACCCATCATAACGTCCATACAAGGAAGCGCACACGATGTAATTAAGGGCCACGAGTACCACACCATTTTATATCGATGAACTAGCGAATGGTAGCACTACACATAACAACATAACACACATATATTTACATATCATACCCCTGGACACTATGACCCTTCACATGTGGAGGCTTAACAGCATAGATACGCGAACTACATAACGATGTAGCTGAACCCTGCCTTGGGTACTGTAATTTAGAAACGTGGTATGTAACATTTTAAATAATTTTTACAATTTAATAACCTTTAATAATAATACATCTTTAATATTTTAATCCAAAGTCAATATACTTACATATTTTTAATATATCCTTGATATATAGGTACACATACTTAATTTCAATATTTATATTTAACTCGAGGCACGTAAATTCTCTATCATAGACCATGACACGTTGTACCAAATATGGATCCATATTGGGAGTTCTTGGCCAGCCGACCTGAGAGAGGGTTAACGAGGACTTATCTCTGGATAAGCCCTCTCCACGTCACGAAGAATAATACAGCAAATTAGCTTATAGAATCAAATGTAATTTTGATTGCTAATATTATGTAAATAAAAAAAATATTGGGCGTTCAGTGACCCTAGACGTATTCTTGTATCACTGCCTGATGATGGTCCTATGAGGCCGAAACATGTAGCGGGAAATAAATATTCAATTGTAAAGTAATGATTGATTATATATCACTTTGTTGTGGTAGCGGATAACCTAATCATATAGAATTAATTAGGGGTTCAATTGGATAACGTTAATGGAGCAGCAGTTTATGCAGTAGTGTACGCCATATCTTAACATATTGTGACATGTTGATCCCTACCTCCCCAGCTGCACGTAGCGGTAACGTAGCGCTCGCGTAATAGGCGAGTAATCACCCCGCAACTCTTCCCGCGGTGACGTCACGAGCGGAGCCGAAGTGAGCCGAGCGGAGCCGACGTTAGCCGAGTCCTAGCATCCTGGTCGCTATGCAATATTGTTTAGATACAAAGTGCTTGAGGCAGGATTTGTAGTGTAGGGTGTGAGCTTTCCACGATGATGGTTAGGGAGGGTGAGGTGCAAGTAGCCAAGTAAATGTTTACCCTGAAAGAGGAGACAGCGCTTTAAATCTTCTACTTTCCTCCGAATCGTCGGTAAAGAACTTGCGATACATATGGCGTTATA